TGACACATTATCCTTAGATAATATGCTAGATTTAAAAGCAAAAGTACTTCAAGCATTATTGGAGTTGGAAGTATTGAAAAATTACATTTGCAAAAAATTACAAGTACCATAAAAAACAAATGTAAGCAAGACAAATGCCAGACTTACATGGTATGTAGATGAAATTTATTAATTATAATATGAAACTATTGAGTTCAAAATTGCCTTTGAGCCATACATCTTATGTAGACTTCTTCCAAGCCAACAAATTTTAATTCCACATTGCAAAGTTTTGAAAACTATTAATATTCCATACATTATAATGCAGAGCACTTCTCCCCACCATCTCTACCAAGACATATTTATTAAGTGATGACAGTTAACTTTCACAAGACTCTCAGGGAGATCTGGTCCTTATTCTGTGAATTTACAAAAACCGGGCTGAAAGTGCCAGGAAACACAACTGTATTTTAATATTACCTAAATAATGAATTTGTGATGGGATTTTTCTCTGAAGCAATGGTAAGTCTTGCAGGCAAATGCCTCTTTCAGTAAGTGTTTGAAAATTATTTTTGTTTAAATAACAGCTGGTCTTGCCTATGTGGACTTAAATGAGCCATGTGGAGACAAACTTGTTTCAGCTTGGGTAAGAAAGATTAAAAAACATTAATTCTAGTTAATATCCATTTTGGTCCCTCTACGCAGATGGGAGAAATAACATTAAATTACCGTGCTTACATACAGTCAATACCAGACACCCAATAAAGCTCAAATTCAAAGCCTTGCTCATAATGCAACTGATGCACACAGTTCCAGCAGAACAGCTCAGCTGCTAGTTAGCTTGAAACAAAGGAGATTTACATTCATTTCTCCACTTTGCCAGAGACTTCTTGCGTGACCCTGGACAACTCACTTGGTTTTTGTGTGCTGTAACTCCCCACCCTAAAAGTGGGGAAAAACATTTCTTTCATAACCTCAACAAGCAGATTTACTATAAGGAGATCCTTAAATACATAGATCAAATACATGACACAAAGTGAATAAACAGTACCTAAAGCTTTAATTAACTTCTCTTAAAGCTTTGAAAACTTTATCTCAGGGACAGAAAGCAAGTTTTTTCACAATACAAGTGTCTTCAACAAAGATAGGACTGCCTACATATCAAGATGGAACCATATTCTGACATCTGTGGACAGTCACAGACACATACTTCCTTGACTCAAAGCAAAGACATGACATACTGCTCTGTCACCAACATATACAGAAGATCAAAAGTAAAAAGTCTCTAGGTACCTTCACTGAGTCCTAAAACAAGAGTTATAACTTTTTGATATAATACAAAGTAGGAGAAGAAATCACCAGGTACACTCTTAAAAGATTTAAAATACTTTAGGTCCAAACAGTCATTCTCCAATTTATATTAATCACTAACCACCTTTTGAACTTGAAAGCCACATTTAACTTTCATAACTCAGTATTAATATCAGAAGTCAAACCAACTTGCAGAAATTAAAGACCTCTAGAGCAGCAGACTACTGAAGGTGATGAAGAGGACTTAAATCCATTCAGAAGTAGCTGCCACACATATATTACACTAGGACACTCATGAGGACAGCATTGCTCCCATCAGGAACCCATGATTTCATGACATGTATTAAATGTATCCTTTTAGAAAATGTCTTCAAGTCAAAAAATCTATTTTTTGAATGCAGGTCAACCAGAGACTGTGTTTCCACGCACATATTCTGCACCTCTGCACGAGTAACTGCACCAGCCTACACAAAATCGAAATCGCAGCCTGGGGGGGAGACAGGAGGGGCAAACGGACTTCGAGAGACAGAGCAGTAAAAGAGTAGCAAGCACAGGTAAGCTTTTGGGGGACATAGACAAGCTATGGAAAACCAGAAGCAAAGAAAGTACTGAGGAGAGAGGAAGTTCTGGGATAAACTTCCCCTCATATTACCCACATATGTCTAAAACCCACACAGCTGCTCAATCACAGGGTGTTGAGTGTGTTTGGGGTTTGGGTTTTTTTGTTTTTGTTTTTTAAACAGATGATCTGTGGGTTACACACATGAAAATACAGCCACTGCAAGCTACAAAAATAAAAATGTAACATTTGGTTTTAAGCTTTTTTTTTTAAATATCAAATGGTTGTCATTATTTGTAATTGCATCTTATATGTGGTATTTTATAAGAAGAAAAAAATCCCAGCTCTTACTAAAAATCATTCACAACCTAAAGCTTTGTCTTTCAATATGCAGAGCTGCTCTGGGATGTGCTAAATATCTTGAACTCTCATTTCTGCAGTAAGACTGAAAGAAGAACAGCATTTTGCAATGAGGCCAAAAATTAAAGCACAGCCAGCCATGAACTGTTATCAAACACTGGGCATGGAACAGGGGAAAATACAAAGATGGTGGTGAGGTGTGTAAGAATAGATGTCCAGAAAAAAAGATTATGACATTTCCAACATAACACAGGATACAGTTTCAGATGCACATTTTCAAATGTGACTTCTGATGCTGTGGCACCCCTGAAGCTGACAACAGAACAAGTAGTACTTGGCATCGTATATAACTCCCTGAATATGTAAGTTTTGAGATTAAACTTGCAGGAGAGAGTGAGATCTAAAAGGAGAGGACTGGTCTCCCCTCCAGTGACACCTGAAAAACATCTGTAGAGGCACAAAGACAGCAGAAATATGAGGGGCTGGAGGTCAGAGGAAAGGTGAGAATAAGCAAAGTCATAAAGGCAGGAAATTGAAACTAAGTTCTCAAACTATGTATTTAATACCTCCCTCACAGCATGCCAGTAATGTTCGTATGAAGGAAAAAACATAAAGGAAAGCAGTGTCACTGTTAGCAGGCTTCCCAAGAGCAAATTTTGGCAACCTTAAACATCACGCAGCAACCAGAGCCTCTCACTTGCTTAATATCCTAAAAGTCATAAACTGACTGTTTCTTTATCCACAAGAGGTGAACTTTCCCGATAACTGTGATAGCTGAAACTCATCTCACTGTTGTGGCAATCAGCACCTGCTCACCCTTTTACAGACCCGCTGCTACAGAAGCAAACTCCCAGTGCTTGACTGCACAACTGGAGCCTTGTGAGCCATAAGCAGAGGTGCTCTCTGCCACTCTCAGCACTGTCACACATACACACACACAACAAACCCCTTCACTCACGGTTTCCTACCTATCAACATATTAAGGGACAGTAACAACTACATCAGTTTCATATATTATTTGCAAGAGTTGCCAGCCTTCATCCATTGGAAGGTCAGAAGGAATGCAGAATACTTGTAATTCCACTACGGGTGAAGATCAATCATCACTACTTGTACTAGGATCCAGTTTTTACCATTAGAAATATTTATAAAGGCTGAAACAACACAAACTTACTATGTGGACCCTGAAGTGCATTATCCTCAAAGGTCTATGTAATTAAAAAAGAAAAATCAAAACTATACTCTATTTTGACAGGTAGCCTGCTAGCTCATCTTCACCTGTGAATGAATCCAATTGAAAAAAGGACAAATTAGGGTTCTAATATTATTTACACAAACCTTCAGATGAAACGTGCAATCTAACATACTCATTCACTATCACAACTGTTGGATAGATTTGCAAAGTTCACTGCAGTCCTGGCACCTTGATCATCCAGACTCAAATTATCTAGACAGCAAGGCACAGTGCCTTTCTGAGCTGTGCTTCTGTGTTTCTTTCCCATGAAAATCAGGTTATGGTGGGAGGAGGAAGGAAAAGCATGTGGACTTCATCCTGACACAGAGCCAGGACGAAGACAAGACAGACGCCTCCAGCCCAAGAACTGGAAATTCTTGAATTATTGAGATAAGTCATTACTGTCCCTAAAACAACATTGTCACAGCTAAAGATTTCCGAGCTCACTGGTTATCTTCCAAACAGCACAAAAATCTTAGTATCAGACTAGACATCACACATCACATCCAGTCCCTCCTTTCATTAATAATGATCCTTGGGACTGGTACTGAAAGGGTGGCTCTGGACCTGTCAGGCTAATTCTTGTGCTAATGCCTCTCTGCACACAAACAGTGGCAAAAAGCTTCAATAAAAAGGTTCACATACATTTGTGGGCAGCAATTCAATACTAAAAAGACCAATTTGAACAGTTATTTATTAACATAATTTCCTCTGATTTCTGCTGTTACCAACATCAAGAGGCATCAAACCCCAGCTACAGCAAGGAGATGGGAACAGAGTTGTGCTTTGGCAACTACAGCGAACACAGAGCAAACCAAAAGCCTCTTTCCTCTTGAATGAACGAGCACAACCAAAGATGTTACGCTACTACTGTCTCCTCTCCAAATGCAAAGAGGCTCAGGGACACCATGCAATGCCTCAAATCAACCTGCTAGATGTTTTAAAAAAATAGTACAAGTTTCTAAAACACACTTAAAAACAAGCTGCTCTATAAAGGGCAACAGAATATCCCTGCTTTCTATTTCATCAGCTAAGATGTGTGCTCCTGTGGGGCACCCACTGAGTGACGAATTCACGCTTCTCTTCTACTGTGAGCTGCTGTTCACAACAGAACACTCTGAGCTAAAAACCTCATAGCATTTTACTATTCTCTGCTTCCTTGGCAGGACTCTTATTTATATAAGATTAGCGCAGTCAGGCATTAGATTTATAAACAAAAAAAAACAAACAAGGAGAAAGTTTTCACACTCTTCTTTACAGAGCAGTTTCCGAAACATACACACGCAAGCAGTGTAACTTGATTGAAATGCAATTGTTAAAAAAAAACAAAACAACTTCCAAAACAAACAGAAAACTTATCAAAACACATACAATCTTTGGAGGTGTCCCCACCTGGAAACTATTTAATGTCATCCAAGCATTCGCAAAATTACTGCAGGCCACCTAAACAGCCATTCCTCTGCTCCATCAAAAGCCTCTGAAGGCAGTTACAACACACAGGCATACTTCAGCCCCTCACCTTCCCCCACCCTCCTCAGGGAAGGACTCGACACCAACCTGCAGTTGGGAGGTGGATCTAAGGTGATGTCAGCCAATTCCTTCTGAATCCTGTGGCAATAAAAGCAAGAAGGTACAAAAGTAAGTCACTGTGTGGGATAGCAGCTAACACATAGACCTTACAGACATACTGTCACTGATTGCAACAGTACATAAGACAGAGGCACTCTCAGATGAAGCCTCACACCAGTCCAAACCCACTAAGCAGGACAGGTGTCCTGCCCTCTTACAGAGGCAGGCAGAGAAGCACTCAGGCATCATGCACTGAACCCAGAGAGGTGCATGCTGCATGCTCCCATAAAGATGCCAGCCACACAGTGGAAAAGTCTGTCTGCTTTGCTCTGACAACCAGCCTATAAATGAGGGGAAACCTCTGCAAATGTGATGCACCAAGTGCTAGGAGGAAACTGCAGTCTGAAAAGGAATTTTGTCTTACAGGATTGAGAGAAACAGTCATTGCCAAATTGGCTCCCCCTCTCCCCACAGCTTCTCATCACCATCCTGAGAAAAAAAAAAAATCAGCCCTGAGGGAGTCAATAACTGCGCCATTCCCAAGGACACTTAAAGGAAGGTGAATATCTATTTCCGAGGCTCCTGCACATTCCTGCCACCTTCAATTCTCCCCTCTCTTCACCCTCAAGAGCCACACATCCCCAGGTCTCCTCCCTCAGCACTCCAGATGCTCCCTTTCTCCATCGTGTTCAGCCAACACCCTGTACTCCCTGCCCAGACTATTCTGGGCTTATGCTGCTTTTGCCACAAAACGCCCAACCAGCTATCATCCCCTTCCCTGGAGTCCCATTACTGTCACTCAGGCTTCCTTTCCAGATTTCCCCACCCAGCACTCAGTCTGCCTGCCTTCTCCTTTAAACTCAGACAGCATCTTCTGCCTCTCTTCCACTTGTCACACAAGAACCACAACCTTTCCACATTAGGCAGTCTAAAATCTTCTTAAAAGAGTGAAGGGCACAACACGTAAACACCATTTGCCAATATCTGTGTCAGTTTGCCATGGAAACCTGCTGAGTGGAGTTCTGGAATAACCAAACTGCCTAAATTCTACAAAGCCACAGAGAACTTAGTTGCAACAGCAGGGGCTTTGCATAAAACCCTAGTCACTTTTGACACCTTCTGATACAACCTCTCTGCTGCCGGGCTGTTCAGTGAGATGGTTTATTATTCTTACTGAAGTACCGCAAGTTTGCTTGAAAACTTCCATTTGTCAGCTAGCTCTCTGAAGCAGGATGGTGCTGAATTCAGGTGAAACGCAGAACAGATAAGAAAGGGTAACAATTTATTTAAAAAAAAAAAAAGCCTGAGTAGGTCCAAGTGAAGAAAACTGATTGACATTGCTGTTCTGGAATTACTATCCTATGCAGGCATCTCTCCCTACACATTATTCTGGAACAAAAATTATTTAATTCTCAAAAAAAACCCAACCCACTCTGTGCTGTGAGCAAAGACTATTTTAGAGCAGAATGTCCACAAGTGGACTGGCTGTAGATTATTTATTCTAGTCAGCATCCAACCATATACAGAAAATTCAATGTAAGTGTTGAGCAGACAAAAATAACAGTAACATATTTGTTGGAAAAGATCTGGGGCTATACTACACCACTTGCACTGGAGTGCCCTCCCCCAATGCAAGCAATCTCAAAACTTCACAAACATTAATTAACCCCCAAATCAGTCCTGGAAAGCAAAAAAGCCAGTCTAGATAATTCCAACCTACAGAGAGGGAAACTGATGTTGAAATGCAATGCCTTACTTGGGACCACATAGCTTCCAGTAGCAGAGAAAGAATTAAGGTCTACATGTCAGTCCTACACCATCCCGATAACAGATGCCAATAAGGAAAAAGGAAAGACAGCAGAAATAACTGAGGGTCAGAATAACAACCCAGAGGAAGAAAAGACAGGAAAATATTTGGGATGGAACGGAGGAATAAACAGGAAGAGAGATCAGCGAGCAGTGAAGTTGGGCAGAAAGTCACTGCGCTGAGACACTGAAAAATGCGAGACAATAGCAGATTCATGTGGAAAGGTTGAGCACAAGGGCTAGAGACGAGGAATGAAAGCAGCAAGGGAGCAGTGGGGGTACAGAGCAAAATAAAACGAGGAAGGAGGGAAGATGCAGTGAATCAGTGAGAAAATTGACTGCAGTCTCACCTCTTGGCACTGGTAGATAGCAGCTTAGAGTTTTTACTCATGCTGACTTTGCTTTCCTTCTTCTTAGGCGTGCTTGTCTCTTTCTCTGTCTGTTGGTTGGAGGATGAAGATGAGGAGGAGCTGGTGCTGGCCCTCGAATCGTCATCCGACATAGCGACCCCCCCACCACACACCCCAACCTGGAGAGGAGACACCATGGGGCGTGGGGAACAAACAGTGAACACAAACACACACAGAGAAAGGCTGCTGACAATCTCGCTCTGTGTTTGGGTCATGCTCCTTTTAAAGGATCCTCATGTCTCCCTTTCCTCTTCAGGCCCTACAGCTGTAGCAGGAGAAGCAGTAGCCTTGCGTGCACTAGGAGCACCGAGGAGCAGGGGGAAAAGGATTTTTAAAGCTTCCTCTCAGAAAGCAAGTGCAAAATGAGAGGAGACTGGAACGAGGACGACTGCAAGGATCAGGGAAGCTCAAAGCAATTCCTTCTAATCTCCCCCAAACTGCACACACAAGAGGAGCCATCACCACCCACCACTATCCAGCCTAGGGGTGTAGAAGATAAAAATGGAACAGCTCCGGTCCCTTGGGTTCCCAGGAGGCACGTGGGGGAGGCAGGAAGGGATGGGGCTGGCGAGGTGACCATCGCCAGCTCTAAAATGGAAGTGGGGCATCACTGGCAACACAGGGAAGACCCTGGAGAATCTGTGACCTGTGGTGGGGAAACCCCTGCCTGCTGGATAACCCCTGCCTGTGGGATCGAGTGTTGTAAGCGGAGGGGGGAGGGAGCAGGAAGAGGGCAAACGAAGGGGAACGGCTAAGCAGGGAGTGGGGTGCACTGATGGGACCCACCGAGGCCCACTGCACTGAGGGGCATGTGCCAGCAAAGGGGCAAGGGAACAGTGGGTCTGTGCTGGGGGGGTACGTGGGA